ATTCTCTCCTTTTGTTCTATAAAACAACTGATTGCGACTCTTCGTCCAAATCAAAAAAAATAAATTATCAAAGACCGTCACAACTCAACTTTTCACACCAATAAACTTAAATTTTTAATATAAACAAACAAAAAGATCAAATTCCTAGAATAAAAATTGGACTAAATTTGAAATATATGAAGAGTACAAGAAGTTAGAGTGTATTTTAACCCATATTTTTCTATGTAATTAGGGGTATATATATATATATATTAAGCTCTCATAAAGATCACGTTTCATGAGACTGGATTCTCATATTTTTCTATGTAAATTAGATGGATGGAAGTATCATGAGCTTTTATATTCAATTCTGAGATCAGATTTATTTGTTCCTGAAATCTGGCTTCATTTTCCTTTCAAATGATTATTTAAATTAATAATTACTTGATTAATGTGCTTAAGAAAAGCTAAAGATTTTTAAAGATATAACCTGTTTAAACCAAGAACAAGTTGCAAGAGATCATGAATCCAAACCCCCTCCAACAAAATCCCAAATTTGAATATATTATATCCATGTTCGTATCATACCATTGAGTATTAATTAAATTCACTAAGAAAAAAAAGAAACAAAAGCAAGTTGCTATATAAACAAAATCCCCCAGGCTTCCTGGAAAAATGGAAAAGGGAAGAATGTAATTACGCCATCGTTTCTGTCTCTTCTTCTTCTTTCTGCAAGTCCAATTGTCATATGGCTCTTGGTTTTTGTTTTTGTCAATGGATGTGCAATCAGTGAAAGAGTTGTTGGCTTTTTCATGTAGGAAGAAAAAATGGCTAATGCTGTCAGCTATATGTGGAGCTTCTGGTTATGGTGTTTACAAGGTGTTGAATTCACCATCCATGGTTAAGAAAAGGAAGAGGCTTCTAATGCTCTTCGGAGCTCTTGTTTCGTTCGCCGAATCGGTCTCGGATTCTGCCGAGACGATCAATGTCGTCTACAAGGACCTGAGGGAGTTTATAAAATCTGATTCTGATCAAATTCCCAACAGTTTGAAGAAAATATCAAAGATTGTTAGATCAGTGATTTTTCCCAGTCTTTAATTAGTACTACTCAGGCTTTAACAGTTGGGGTTTCGAGAGGCTGTAAGCAAGAATCAGGGAATGCATCTGAATTGGCAAATTCAAGCTTGACTGATAAGGTATTGGATAAGGTTTTTTCTGATTCTGGGACTGGTTTTGTATCTGTTATTGTTGGTAGCTTTACTAGGAATCTGGTGCTGGGATTTGGCTCCAGTGGTGGTGAAAATGGTGGGTTATCTGATGTGCCCAAATGGGTTTCTGACGATAAATGTAAAGAGCTAATGGCTGATTGCATACAGAGATTTGTAAGCACTGCTGTTGCAGTCTATATGGACAAGACCATGAACACCAATTCTTATGATGAAATGTTTGCTGGGATGACCAATCCAAACCATCAAAGCAAAGTGACAGACCTCTTGGGTTCTGTTTGTAACGGTGTAGTGGAAACGCTAGTGAAAACGTCTCATCAAGCTTTGACGAGTTCGAACTCGGGTTCTACTTGTGCAATCGTCTATCAGAGTGGCAATGCCGGTGGCAGGAGAGACTGTTTCGATGATGGAGCATTTCTCGAAGGTTCACTTGGTGGGAATCAGAACAATGGGTGGGCTGATAATGTAACAACCCGATTTTCAAAATAATATTTAATTAAAATTTGAGGGTTTAATTGTGAAAATTTGGCGAAAATTTGAGACTGAATTGAAAGATTTTAAAACTTGGAGCTTGTTTTAAAGTTAAAGAAAATTCAGGGACCAAGCCCTGAATTTAACCATGAAGTGTCGGCAGACAATTGTTATATGCGTGATTTCTGTTTTGAAAAACAGAAATCAATTTCACAAATCCTTCCTCACGCACACAACTTCCAAACTCGATTCCGACGCCGTCCGAATTCCGATCGTTGTTTTGAAACCACCATTGTGTTCATCATCGAGCGAGGAGCAAAACCTTCAAATTAATTGAAGCGAAACGCGGCCAAACGTCGGGAATTTCCAGTCAAAGTAGCGACGGTTTTGTTAGCTCTATCACCGAGAAAATCTTAAATTCACCGCTGATAGTTGCTCTGTTTACGACACCTCCCGCACCATCGTGTTCCTTGTGCCGTTCCGAGTTCACCGGTGTCAATCTTGTCCGCCGTAGACGGCGGCGCGTGAGGAGGTGGTGCAGTCAAAGATTCGGCCGATTTGAAATCGAGATCTCCGCCGTTCAAAAATTTGAACCGATCGTTGTAAGTATCTCGAAATCGCTCAAAATAATTTTTAGAAATTTTTTCGGGATTTTTAGGGCCCCGGAGGACGCCTCACGCGCCACACGCGCCGCCGCAGGACGAGTGGCTGCTGGAAACCGGTTTAATCGGTTTTCAACCGGTTCTGACCGGTTTGACCGGTTTCAACCGGTTCGAACCGGTTTGACCGGTCTGAATCGGTTTGACCGGTCTGAGCCGGTTTGACCGGTCTGACCCGACCCGACCGTTGACCCGACCCGACCCGACCGTTGACCGTTGACTTTCTTTGACCAAAACTTAAAATGGCTTTGACCGAGCATTAAACGACCGTAAATCTTTTCCGAGTATACCTATCCTGATAGTTTTCGACGTGCCAAATCCATTTCCGCAGTCCGTTTCACCAAATTCAAACCCGAAGGTCTCCAAATCGACGGTCAAAGTGGTTGACTTTGACTTTGACCAAGAATTTGGATTTTCGAAAAGTCATACTTTATATTTTTCGACGTCCTGATTCCGATTCCGCAATCCGTTTGGCCAAATTCAGACTCGAAATACCCCAAATTGATAGTCAAACTCGGAAAATGCTTAGATACTTAAGAATTTTAGCTTTGAACAATTAAGTAAGATTTGGGGCTGATAAATTATTGTTATTTGAAGGTGCACGAGACTCACCGGATCGTTCAACAGCTCGGCCCAGCTCTTCTAGATCAGTTAAACCACGTATGCCAGTATTCACCCGTAAGACCCGTAAATTTTATGATTTTAGATATTTATTTATGTTACCCATAAGTAATATAGTGTTACTATAAATTAGGTTCGAAAACTGTAGCAGAGCGTGGTGAAACCAGCAATCAGTAGATCTACGATTTGAACCTATTATCGAGGTGTGTTCCCTATTTATTACTGAACTGTTTTATTTGTTTTAATATGTGGTACACTGAATTCTTTGGTTATCGTATTGTTGATGCACCGATTTAATGTGATTATTTATGGATTATGACTGTTATCTGATATTGGTTTTGAAATGGTATATGATTACCATGTTTATGGATTTATGGAATTTATAACACGGTGCAATTGAATTTTTGGAATACGAATTTATAAAGTACAGCTCTGATCAAGCTGGAAAATTTTACGGACTTAATGTGACTCTTAGGTAGGCTCTGCGGCCCTGAGATCATTCTCGGGTAGGCCCTGCGGCCCTAAGATGTGTTCTTAGGTAGGCCTCACGGCTCCGAAATCTATCTTGGGTAGGCTCTCAGGCCCTAAGATGTTCCCTTAGGGTAACGCTTTTTAAAGAGATTTACTGCAGTATAATTTTATGAGACTTTTTGGACTATGATATGTTTAGTGTACCTATAGTGGTTTTATGGTAATATTGGGACACACTGAGCCTAGCTCACTTTTCGAAAATGTTTTTCCCCTTTCAGATACTGTTGGTTAGATACCCTGGATTGAGCACTTGGAGGATCAACATATCTCTTGAAGTATATCTGATTGTAATGTTTTTACCTTGCAAGTTGACTTTATTTTGTTGACATGGACCTTATTTTAAAGTATGGGATTTTAATATGATGACATTTTTACTATTACTATTCGGTTTATCGTGATTTGATTTTTAAGATATGTTTTAAATTAATTTATTACTTATTGGTATAATATTTACAAGTTAGGTTTTGATAGTATGATTTATTATAATTTCATGTCATTTATAATGTGATTTTACATTGTTTGAATAACAGTTTCGGAAAAATGTCTTAAAGAATCATAATGTGATCCACTAGACTTAGTCGAAACGCATAGGCCGGGTCTAGGGGTTACAGATAAGGTCTCATCCACATGGGCAATTCCAAGAAATAGGAAGTTTGTGCTAAATGTGACCGGGAGGGTTACCCTCCAAACAATAAGATCTATAGCTGAGTTTCTGTTATGGAAGCTTTCACAGGATTTGAAAAAAAGCATTCGGGTTGTCCGTGAGGAAGTCATCGAAAAGGGACTCGCAACGAATTTGGACTATCGTAATACCACCAGTCGTTGCGATTTTGGACTATCGCAACGAATTTGAAATAAATCGCAATGCGAACTTGGACTATCGCAACGAATTTGTAATAAATCGCAATGCGAACTTGGACTATCGCAACGAATTTATAATAAATCGCAACGCGAATTTGGACTATCGCAACAAATTTGGAATAAATCGCAACGCGAACTTCGACTATCGTAACACGAACTTGGACTATCGCAATGCGAATATGTAAATCGCAATGCGATAGTCGAAGTTCGCGTTGCGAATCTGGAAACTGATTTGCGATACCGAAGATCTCGTTGTGAATTATCGATCGCATTGAAATTTAGTTTGTCATTTTGGCATATCCAAAAAAAATTAGTTAAAATCGTATATTATAAGACATTTTTTATTTTCTCTATTTATTATTAATTATAAAATAATTCTCAATTATTTGACATTAAACGCTTAAATCATAATATTTATGATACTCGAACTCGAAACCTTAAAAATATCAACAATTTCTTTATCTGTTTAGTTCATGCTCAAAGCGATGTTGGTATTCTTTTAGCCAAATAGACCGGTCCACTAGAACCCGTTTTATTGGGTCCGACTACCCACCCTATATTTGATTCTTAAGGGGCATTTGCGTCAACTAACAACATTCAAATCCAATTCAGATAAATATCCCGCCCCATCTCCTCTCTGCCACCCAAACGATTTTAAAAGAAAAATGGAAAAGATATGCGTAGCAGTGCGAGTGAGACCTCCGATTACCCAAGAAAATCCTTCTGGAGCCTTCTGGAAAGTCGAAGACAATCGAATTTCTCTTCACAAGCTTCAAGGCTCCCCAATTTCTGGTGTTTCCTATGCTTTCGGTGAGTTTCATTTCCCCTTTCTTTTTTTCCCCTTTCTGAATCCAATTCTCACTCCTTGAAGTTTTGTTCGTTTTTAGATCATGTATTCGATGAGAATTGCTCCAATTCAGTGGTGTACGAGCTACTTACTAAGGATATTATTCATGCTGCCGTCGACGGCTTTAACGGTTTTAAATCTTATTTTTTTTGCCCTAATTTTGATGATCTAGTACAAGAAATGATCAATTTGTATAATTTTTCAACGTTTTATTTGTGTTTTAGGGACTGCTTTTGCATACGGGCAAACGAGCAGTGGCAAGACCTTCACTATGAACGGTTCATCTAGCGACCCCGGTATTATTCATCGAGCAGTTAACGATTTATTTCAGAAAATAAATACGGTAATTTAACTAAATTTCTTTCTTTCAAAAGCATTTACGATTTAGTTCAGAAGTTTTGAACTTGTTCTTCTTGGTGTTGAATTAAATTCCCAGATTTCAGATCGGGAGTTTCTCATACGAGTCTCCTACATGGAAATTTATAATGAAGAAATTAACGACCTTCTCGCTGTCCAGAATCAGAAATTACAGATTCATGAGAGTTTGGAGGTCAGCCATTGATTAAACTTTGATAAAGTTTAAAATTTTATCAATCACGCACAAAATTAACTGATTTTTCTTGTTTCTTTTAGCGCGGGATTTTCGTTGCGGGTCTTAGGGAAGAAATTGTGAACACTGCAGAACAAGTGATGAAGCTCCTGGGGTCAGGAGAAGGTCCTTTAAACTTCTTAGTTTGCCCTTGGTTAATATGGGTAGTGGTTTTTTTAAAAATATATATCGTTTTTCTTACAGTTAACAGACATTTTGGTGAGACAACTATGAATGCACGAAGTAGTAGGTCTCATACAATATTCAGAGTTGTAAGTTCTTTTAACTTATTGTTGAACGTTAATATCACTCTACTTGTTTCCTGAAGTTTACTTCTAGTAACCATTATATTAAATATACATTACTAGGTGATAGAAAGCAAGGAAAAGGATACAGGCTATTTTGATGATTATTCAAGCAGTGATGCCATTCGCGTCTCAGTTTTGGTTTGTATCTTATATTACTGTACAATTTTTCCCTTTTATATAGTTTTTACTTTGTTCTATTAATTTTTTTATATATATATTTTTAATTCCTTTATTCGAAAGTAGAATTTGGTAGATTTGGCTGGTTCTGAGCGGATTGCTAAGACTGGAGCTGGTGGAGTACGTTTGAGGGAAGGAAAGTATATTAACAAGAGCTTAATGGTTCTTGGTAATGTGATTAACAAACTTAGTGACGGTGCAAAGCAAAGGTAATTGCTTTGCAAATTCTGTGGGAAGTAACGTTATTTGTATAGAATTGAATAAATATATTCTAATGATAGAATTTATTGACATGTACAGGGCACATATTCCTTATCGGGACAGTAAATTAACCCGCATACTTCAACCTGCTCTAGGAGGGAATGCAAAAACTTCAATTATATGTACTGTAGCTCCTGAAGAGGTAGGCTTCCATTGACTATGTGCGTGCTATTTCATGCTTGTTTTTTGTTTTCTTATCTCTTTTAAGAAGGGGAGACGGAAATGGCATTTTCAACTGAGCATTTTGATTAATTTTGATATTCTATGTTTAGATTCACACTGAGGAGACGAAGGGAACTCTCCTTTTCGCTAGCAGAGCCAAACGAGTCACTAATTGTGCTCAAGTGAATGAGGTTTGTTAATTTTTCTTATATTTCAGCAGATTATCACCTAATACATGAATCTCCAATGCTGCCCTGTATAAATCATGAAATATTATCATGTTAATACATGACAGAGAAAGAATTCAAATTTTCTTCCTTGCATTTTGTTTTAATTGATTTGATATGAATTGATATGATGCTAATCATGGTTTAACTTCTTTCTAGATTTTGACGGATGCAGCCCTACTGAAAAGGCAAAAGTTGGAGATAGAGGAGCTACGCAGGAAGCTCCAGGTGAGGATCAGTTGACATAAACTAACATTAGAATTAAAAGGCAATCTAAAATTCTTCATTACTTTTTTACAGGGATCTCATGCTAAGGTGCTGGAGCAAGAAATATTAAAACTGAGGAATGACATGCTTAAGGTTCATTATTTTTTTATTTTGCAACATGGATTAATGGATTGTATGACCAACTATTAACGTACACATTTTTTACATGCTTGTATTCTAATTATAGTATGAATTAGAGCGTGAAAAGCTTGAAATGGAACTAGAAGAAGAAAGAAGATCGCATAAAGAGCGTGATGAGTACTTTAGAGGCCAGCTGATGATGATTGAAAACCTAAGTAGTTTGGTTTCTGATGGTGATGGAAGTTCAAGTCAGGTATAACCTCCGCAAACTGCAAAATGAGAATAGAGATTCCTGTTTCTTTTCAGTGTGCTTCTAAATTTAGTTTGTGCTGCAATCTTATTGTGGTTCCTACTTTCTAGACTCGAAGATCACTGCCTAGTTTGGCCATGTTATAGCAACATTTATTTGGAGAGCAATCCATCCAGACATCTTTCACAACACTTAATTTAGCTTTAATTTTTGTAGTTTTGTCATCCTGCTTTCTTGGAGTGATACAAATGACAAATCTTAGATTAATGAAGTTCATGTATTTGTGCATTACATGTTCCCATTATGCCGTTGCCATATGTTTATTTACAGCAATGTGAAACTTTAATGGGAAAAAATTACATACGAAGGTTGTAACTGAATTGTGGCTGCAAATATCATTTATCATCTGGAAATCAGTAAAAGATATATGAATTCTAAACTTGGTTTACGGCAAATAGCGAATAATAGTCTCTAGGAAACTTATCTCTAATACTGAAGTTTGACATCAGAATTGAAGTTGACCGATCAAAGAATTATTCATTATTTTTGGGTCAATTTATAAATGTACTTTTGGTGAGGGCAGGACTCCATGGAAAGCCCAATAGAAGAATGTAATGAAAAAGGAGATGATTTTAAAACACCTTGTTTTAAAGTAGCGCCCAAGGCCTTTGTCGCCAAGAGATCGAATTATTCACAGTTGCCAGATTTCAGTCCTCTTCCAGATTCTTTTAGCAATGTAGCCGATGAAGACACTTGGTTCAAAATAAACAAGGGTTATATTGCAAACCTTGATTCAATTCAAGCAACTCCTGCAAGAAAAGTTCAATCCTTTCCACCAGAAGATGCAACTCCTGTGAGTTGATAATTTCAAAGTCATTCTTCTTTCGATTGTTTTTATATGTGCTTTACAATATAAATGATTTTTTTATCATGATATCTGCGTAAGTTCAACTTAACATATGGTTCATTTTCAGAATTATTTGAATAAGAACTACAAAATGGAACTCCAAAATCTCAAGCGACTGCTAGAACTTGTCACTGATGAGAAGAGTGAACTCCAGGTCCGTAAATAGTTACTAGTTTAAGTTGCTGCACCTTAGTAGTTGAGTTGTTGACATTTTCATCTCTGAATTTCTGGATGATTCATACATTGATGTGCCTTTCAATGCTGTAACTGTTTCACTGGTGAATTCACAGAGAAAGCTTGAAGAACATATACAATTGAATGATAGATTGAAGGGAGAAATGTCTGAACTTAAACAAGAAGCATTGCTAGCTCGGGGAATTCCTCAAAGACTGTCTGAATCTGTGGCAAGTTTTAAGGATATTTATGAAGAAGTTTTGTCAAAGATGCAGGTCAAATTGCGTAACATTAGTCTCCTTCAACATTTTTGTTTCTAATTTGTTATTGAGTATTAACACGCATGCTTCCATTCTTTTGAGCCATGGCAGAGTTCTACATTTGAAGGGAAATCTTCAACTACTGAACTGCTCTGCAGCACAAGTAAAATGGTGCCAATCCTTTTCTCGGCATTGGAAACTCATATTTCAAACACAATAGATGGTCACAAATCTTCAACTGGGAAAATTTCTCGAATACAAGAATGCACCATAGCGCTTTCTGAAAGACTCGAAACCACTATTACATCCTTGATTCTATCTGAAACTGATGATAAACAAGCGAAGACCCCCTTATGCAGCTGCAACTTTAAGGTAGCCCCCCGGTCAAGATACCATTTATCAATTATGGTTTTATTTTTCATTATGTTATTAGGATATTTGGTTTCATCCTTTATGATCCTGATTTTCTGAACTCTATTTCCTATACATTCTATAAATCTTTTCATATGTTGTGTGAATGTTGTTTAGTAAGCAAAAAAGGAACTCCAAAAATACCTTCAAATTAGTGTATTTCCACTACACAGAAAAATTCCTTTGTTGTACTTCATGATGACCAATATATAGAGCTACTATATAGGTCATGAATTGAACTCAAAAAGAACTTCCAGGTTCACTTTATATTGAAATTGTAGCCTTTGTCACGAGCAGTACAAACATCTTTGCCTGATTGCACTTTATTAGTTTAACGATTTATATTTGATATATCACAGGTACAAAGTAAAAATTACAAAAATTGAAGGGATTAACATGATAATTTAAGCTTTCTTAACCAATTGTTTCATGTTTGCCAAACATAAATAAGATTCATGCTTGAATTTCTTTGCTTCTTTGACGGACTTAGCTGGTCGATAAAGTGGTTACAAAGCTGGAAAATTAAGAAGAGGAATGAACAATGGTGGAACCAAGGTCATTCTTGTTATTCTCTGCTCTTGGACTTCTTCAAGCACTGCTATTCGAATGCGAACCGAATGTAGTCTTTTGCAAGACCCCTGTAGGAGATGATCCGAACCAAGGACTATGATCCCGGCTCTCTGCCATAAGGCTAAGAGCGGCTGAGTTCCTGCAGCCTGCGGTGTTGCTGTTTGTGCCATGCAATACCTCACCAAGAGGACGAACCGTGGAAGTTTCCCAAGAGATGGGAATCCAATTAGCTTGACTCAGGTTTGCTTCTTTACCAACAGTGCTCACTCCCAATCCCATCTAGATAATTTTGGGTAAATGAATCAAAATTATAGATTAAGCCAATACATATCAATGTCAAAGTCAACAACCAACCATTAACAACTAACAATCTCAAAGGTCAACGTCAATGGTCACATGAATAGGTTGAGTTTGACGATTTAGACGGGTTGATATAGGTCGGATTTTAGATGGAATCTAGTTCATTGGGTCAAGTTGATTAGGTTACACCATTATGGGTTAAGACTTGGGTCTTGGACGAATGGGCCTTAGATGATTAAGGATGGGTAAATAAGGATTTTGAGCTAGAGTTGGTCTGATTTGGTCACAAGTGTTAGGCTTGCCTTAGATGACAACAAAAATTGGGCCTCAATACATGCTGCTCTAATGGGTATCGTATAAAGGGCTCAAGTTAGGGTTTGATTTGGTCGAGAGGGGGATGGCTAAGGGTGACAATGGCAACGACAACAGAGAACGAAAAGAGAACGATGCATGGTGTGCATGGCAACGAATTATGACCCGAGAAAAAGAGAAGAGAAAGAGAGCTGCAACAACCACTTACTAGGGACATTGTCATTACACGATGACGCCAAAGAAATCTCGAGGAATTTTCTCTTGGTCCGCAGAAACAACGGATGACTAGAGAGTAAGGTGGGTTTAGGGTTTTGGTCGAAAGGAAACGTTGAGGCGAACGATGGCCTCGGGTGGCGAGAAGTATGACGAAATTAACTAATTGAAGCATCAAACGAAAACAAAAACATAGGAGAGAAAATGTTCATTAGCGGCCACGTGAGAAAGAATGTGAAAAGGTAACCATTTAAGGCTTATAACAGATTAATTATACATTGATTAATAACTCCTAAAAGGAAAAGCTCTAAAGAAATCTGTAAACCATTCGTAACACAATTGGTAAAAGAGTGGGCAGAGAGGCAAGAGGGCATGCGTTTAGGTCCCATAGCCCTTTTGCTCATTTTTTTCCTCACACAAGGGGAAAATAGAATACTACAAAAGGGTCCCCAAACATTTCAAAATTCACAACTTAATCCAAAAGTTTTATAAAACTCCAATTTGATCATTAAAATAAAAGACAATAACTTTTAACCTTAATTTTGGGTCTTGATATAGTGTTACTTTAATAATTAATTTTAAAATTTAATATATATGGATATTAATGCCTTTAAGTTAGATGATATTTTATGTTTTTGTATTTGTATTTTTTTTAGTTTACACTTGATCAATTTTTCATCTTTATTTACCCATGACATATCTCCCATGAATAAATTTTAAATTACAAGAGATTATGATTTTATATTGAAGCGGGATATCTCCACTTATTTTTAATTAAATTTAGAGATCCTAATAATTACAATGGATCATACATATAGATATTATACATTAAGCTGCACAATTGAGAAAAAAAAGGTTGTGGGAACTTTGTGTAAAAAATAGAGGAAAAAGCTTAAAGCTTCGTAAGTAGAATGAATATTAAATCATAGTGACGCAGAAAGAGAGAGGAGGCTGCCAATATTCCACCATTTACATGATTATCCAAAAGGACTCGTATGTGCAGATGCTTATTCCATTTGTTTCTACATTCAAAGATAGAAGCATAATTTTATGTCACGATGTGATTTTAGAAAAATATATTATAAAATTAAAAGTATGAATTATAAAATTTTTAAAAATATAAACTTAAACTACTTGTAAATTTAAAAATTTTAGAAAATGTGACCACACCCCGACATCTCTAGGTTTATCCCTGCCTGCACTGATGTATCATAATCATGAAAAGTTCTCATAACATTCCTAGATTCAGAAGCAAAACCTAGTTAAAGATCGTGAACTAGTCTCCATAAATCTGCATAATGAAAATCAAGTCTCACCCTTTGTCAATTGATGTATTAAAAGGGTACAGTTGTAAAAGAGGGTTTAACAATTTACGAATTTTTATTACTATCTTATTAAATTTTAGAATAAAGAATTAAAAGTGAAGTTGAATAATGAAACCAATCTAACCATAATTTATTTTTTCAGGAAGAAAAGAAAATATAATAATAACTTAATGATTAAATAGGATTATTATAATCTCATTATCTCCTTAGTTAATAAAATGAAAGTTTTACCATTTGGGTGAATAGAATAGAAATGTCATAATAATTTGATGATCAAATAATTAGTTAACCAAAACATATTATTTCAGTTGAAATTTAATATATGTACAATATTTTTATTAATTAAAATATTGTTTAAAATTGATAGAAAGCATTTGTCATCGACAACCCACTCTTGATTGGATCATTTGGTAACGAGAAGAATGATTTGGTGTGAGTACCCACATCGATCAGTTAGGTGTACCATCTCCATCATACCATCTCCATATCCTAGCCCTTTGGTGTGGGGTCTGCTTTCCACATCAACGTATGGAAATATCACATCAAACATCAAATCAAAACAATCACAAGCGCATTTCATGTGATACTCAACTCCACACGGGAGAAAGAGTTTAGTTCATCAATCATGCATATCTAAGCAAAATCAGCCGTTGATCGCGCCAATTATTATAAATAATCCAGCAAGATCACAACCAGGAGACTTGAAGTTGACCAAATAGTCTGATTTTGACGAGGTGGATCTTTTTTAATCAGCTACAGATGGAAAACTGTAGCAGGATAATCAGCTGAAATTGATGATTAGATTGCATTATTCTTTGTGTTCCTACGAGGATTAATTAATTCCTTAATCAATTAATATTATGTAAAAAAATATAGCAAATCATACTATGCTCCAGATCTTCTTCTTTTACTTGTATGAAATCAGTTTTTCATTGTGTAAAAAACAAATTTCTCTTGTGCTTTGAAAACTCTCTGCATCGGTTACTAAACTCCAAATTCTCTCCGGCGGTTACCACTTTACACAAAAGAGTTACAAGCAGTTTTCATTTCAAGGCAGTGGCGGTGGTTTCATCCGGCCACCTCCATGTTATTTATGGTTTTTATAGAAGATGTTGTTTGATTTTTTAACGTATTTATAACAATATTTTTTTCTCGTCATTTTTTTATGAAGGGTATTATGACGATTACCGCCTTCGGACTTCCAATGTAAGTTTTTTTATTGGTATTTTTTTATATCTGTTTCTACGAGATTTCTTGGTTGTTTGCTCTCTTAATGTTTAATTTCTTCGTTCGTTTGTATATGATATTAATATAGCTTCCGTGCATATGTGTCAAATAATATTTTTCTAGACAAGTATTGATTTCTTCGTACAACATAAATTTATTGTACGGATTAGTTATTCCATTATCTATTTAATTTTTTGATATCGCTCTTCTCATGATGTCATTTCTCTGTTCTTCTTATGATGATAGAATGAGACTGCGATTAAAGGAGAAAATGTTTTCTCATTCATCCGCTTTGGATACTTTCCAAATTCTACAGGTTCACTCATGCGGTTACAATTGGTTCATAATTATATTTTATTTATTATTTTAGATGTTATTTTTAACAATGCCTTTTATAACTAAATACAATCTACATACTTATCTTTAAAAATCTAATTTTTCAATTTGACATATAATTTCAATTATTTTCTAAATCGTCACCTTTTAGTGTTATGTAAGTCAAACACATTTTTTTTATAAAAAACAATTTGTATAGGAAGAGTCTTCTGTTGATGTGTGAAACTATAAAAAATTCTTAATGCTAAACTACAATGAAAGAAAAAAAAATATGGACAAATATATGAAAATTATACGAATTTTGTAAAAATAGAATGAACTAACGCAAAGCGTGTCAAAGACACATAATTACACAAGTACGAGTCGAGTGACTGACACACATATGCTAACCTTATATTCAATTACATAATAAATGTATATTTAAAATGTTATAGGCATAATGTCAAAAAATGCCTTAAACGTTTGACTAATTAGTTACTTTAGCTTTTATTCTTTTTTAAAGCATTTTGATTCTTAACATTTTATTTTTGAGGAAAAAATGTTACTCTATAGATATAAATCGTTCGTTAACAAGTGCTTAGCGCTCTAAAATAAGAGTTTTTTAGGGCCAAAATACTCCAAAAAAAAGAATAATGAGAAAAGACACTATTCAATTAATCATTTTTGTCATAAAATGAAATATTGGAGGTATAATTACAATTTTAATAAACATTGGAGACCAATTTTGATATTATACCAATGTTATATTTAAATTCTCACATATGTGTGTCGTCGTCACGCTCATGAAAATGGTACGTATTTGTTCTTTTTGAACAAAATTCATATAGTTTTTTTAAAAAAGATTTTATGTTATTTTTTCTTTCATTTCCGTCCAACATGAAATACTAGTGACTTTTATGAGCTTAAATGATGGATATTTTATGTATTCGTATTAAACACATATCATATTCAAGAGTTGGTTGAAGAATCATATAATGGGTAGGATGGTGTAGAAGGGAGATTTTGTGGGGACAATGTGAAGCAAATGATGGGAAAAGGACGGGGGGTGCAATGGAAGATGATAAAGCTTAGGTCTTATAATTGAGAGTTATTTTCTTAAAAGAAATGAAAAGAAGAGGGGGTTACTTAGCAAAGAAAGGTCTGTTCTTGTTTAATCAGAATAGTAGTTGGCAAAATGTGTCAGTAAAAAAATTAAGAAGAAAGAAAATGGTGTTTAAATAAATCATATTTATGATTTACTCAGTTTCTGCAATAATTTAGGAGAAAAGAGCAGTTGGCAAAGTTGTTAGGTCTGCCTTTTGATAACATACATACATACATAGATATATACATACATGTCACCCCAAAGCTTTAGAAGTTTCAATCTTTCTTTATTTTTCGCTTTCTCTCTCTCTCTAGCCTTGTAGCTCAGCTGCATTTCTGAGGATTTAAACATAAAAAGGTTGGAATTTGATGCTTTGTGCTAGTTCCAAGTTGGTGAATTTGGGTTCTTGTTAAAAAACTTTAGCATTTGATGCTTTAAGGGGTACCAATCAAACACCCAATTTCAGGGGGGACTGTGAATGACACTCTGCCTCATTTCAGTTCTTGCATAATTCAAGTAAAAATTTGATGCTTTTTGGCCATTTTTTGGAACACCCATTTCTCCAAATTCCTGTTCCAAGGGTTAATTCAGAACTTGGTTGCTTTCTTTTTATTCTACAAGAATTGATCCTCCTTGTTTGTGTGTTGAGCTGCCTAACAAAATCAATCACTTTGGTTTTTTTTCTTTTATAATTGTTCCTAGAGATTGTGAAAAAAAACAATAGTTCTTCTCTAAGCTCTAAGGAATACAAGGGGAATCTGATTTTATTTTTTTTACACTTGCAAGCTGTTAACTTTATGCTCTATAAGGTTCACTTTCATCTCCTGTGAGAAGAATTTTCTCTCTTTTTTTCCTTACTGCAGAGTAGATTTGATCCTAGGGTTTATTAGAACAAGAGGTAAACAGTCTTTATTAAGATTTTTGTGTGCCAGATGCATTTGATTTCCACTTTTTCTTTGCTTCTCCAAGATGCTGCAATGAGAGGTTTCTTTTACTTTAACATTCTCTCAGTTCTATAAAGCTGCCATTGTTGTTTGTTCCTTGTTCAGACTGCAAGATATCCCCCCAAACTAAATTTGGTCAAACCAACCTTCTCCCAAAGGTTGAGTTTCCTTAGAATTTGGGTTTTCTTTTTAGCTTTTGAATCTTAGAAAATGACTAGTGAAAATGATGATATGGGATTGGCGATGAGTTCAATATCCATGTTCAACAAGTCTTCAAACACATCAGATTCTTTCTTCAGTTCTTGTTGGGATCCAATTGTTTCACAGAGTGGAAGCCTTGGAGGTTCTTCAATGGCTTCCCATTACCATCTTGTGATGGAAAATCAGGGAATTAGTGGCACTTCCCATGTTTCCCACTATCAATCTGATCCAAGCTTTGTTGAGCTGGTGTCAAAGCTTACTGGCTTTGATGGTGGAAATTTGTCTCAAATGGTTGGTCCCTTTAGTCTACCACAATGCAACCAAGTTGCCAACCGCAGGTGCCCTCCGAATTTCACTCTAAACACCGAGGGTGGCAACGAAAGGGGTTCGACAAATAGTTTGCGATTTCTTGATGAACACCGAATCTCAAAAGAAGCACTTGTTGGCACCTCGCCTAATGGAAAGATCCGAAAATGTGCTCCTGAGTCCGGCTCTCCGTTAAGATCATGCAAGGTATATTGTTGATATGAATCTATGTTTACGAATGGTATTAAAAAAATGAAGCAATATGATAATCTATGATACCGCAGACATGATTATTCAGCTTTTTTATTTGCATTAGAATGGTGATGAAGAGCCTGTAATGGATCTGTCTAGTGAGGGATGCGATGGTCCGAGAGAACAGGCCAGGAAGAAACCGGAAACGGAACAGAATACAGGTGCTAATTCACGTGGTAAGCAAGCTGTTAAACAAGATAAAGACAGTTCTCAATCCGAGGAAGCTCCTAAAGAAAATTACATCCACGTGAGAGCAAGAAGGGGTCAGGCTACAAACAGTCATAGCCTTGCAGAAAGGGTAACTTCCTGTTCCGATATTAAATGAACAATATTTGCTATCTTAACTTGGTAATGAATCTGGGAATTTTCGTGTTTGCAGGTGAGAAGGGAGAAGATAAGTGAGAGAATGAGATTGCTTCAAGAACTCGTACCGGGGTGCAATAAGGTAAGCAGAGGTTGCATAATTGACACATTTGTAAAAGGGTACGAGGATACGATTTTCAAAACGAAAGCCAATCTTGATTATTTGTGGTGGTCATTGTGTTAGATTACTGGGAAAGCTGTAATGCTTGATGAGATTATCAACTATGTCCAGTCATTGCAGCAGCAGGTTGAGGTATGATACTGTGATTGTAATTAAGGATTTGTTATTTACATTGAAAGTTATCAACTTGAGCTCCGTTTGATGTTTTTGATGTATAGCTTCAGACTACACTAACACAATCAACTAGCTAAATGAGAACTTCGAATCAAAATCTTGGGCGAACTTTCCTTACTTTGGATAATCTGCTTAACTCTTTGTTGGTCCTTGATAAGAAATAGAAATGGAATCTCATCCTTGAGTAATTTTTTTTGAGTTGATCACATCTTTTCTTCTGGAAACTTCATCTCGCCTTCGGCTTGTAACCAAATATAAACTCCCTCGCCCTCGCGACCTTATTTTATAGTTTTTGCAGTATTACACAAAGGTTTAGGACATGAATTTGAGAACTATGCCATATTTACAAACGTGAATGGATTTCAGTGATGTATGTTCAAATCAGTGCTCGTGACATTGTTACTTGGATCATAGTATACTAAATGTCAATGAATTTAATTAACTTATTTTATTCAATGCAGTTTTTATCGATGAAACTCGCCACCGTCAACCCGGAGATAAACCTCGATTTAGACAGAATTCTATCCAAAGACGTAAGTTGTTCTTCCATATGCAACCAAGAAATTATGCAATCAAATATGATTTGATATATTGGAAGCGACATGAATCCTTACTCTCCCCCCCCCCCCAATACAGATTCTTCATCAACGGAGTGGAAGTGCTGCAGTTCTCGGACTCGGTCCAGGGTCGAACTCCCCTTATGGTTTCTCCCCTAGTACCTTTCCCGGAACAATTTCAGGCATCCCGAATAAAAATCCGCAATTCCCACCCTTGCCTCAGGTATCAAAAAGGATGTCAAAACATCATTCTTTTCTCACCCTTTGCTCATTGGAATACTGATTCAAACACTATTTTATCTATTAACAGACTGTACTAGAAAATGAGCTGCTAAATCTTTTTCAAATGGGATTTTCCGGTTCGACCATGGATGGTTTTGGACTAAACGGTATTCATCGAAGTAAACAGAGCTATATTTTCTAACTTGTTTTTCCTATTTTCTAACCTTAAGCATCTTATCATCGTTACGCAGGTCAATTAAAACCGGAGATGTGATATTGGGAAGAAACTGACATGAGAAATAAGCTTAGTCCCACCTAACCAAGAATTTCATATGTTTCAAGTAAAATGCAGATAAGCTATGCATGGGATTATTTCAGCTGTATAGGTTATTAAGTTTCTAACAAGATCATGTGTATTTGGTTGATGGAATCTTGATTTTTGATTGGTATTTTTGTTTGATGCTTTGTGAAAATATTGGAATATGGTGGTTAAGTTGTAGATTGGATAAACTTTCTAAATTTAAGAAAATTCCATTGTGTTTTACTGTCATCTGTATCTATCAACACTGTCCACAAAAGAGTAGTTAAGCACTTCCTTTGGGTAAATATATGGTCAAATTTTGTACAAGGTCCTTATACTATGTACTTTTGATGGATTTAATCCCTCTACTTATTATAATTTGATAATTTATAATAGTTTGCTTTTCAAAAAATATTTTTAAGGTTTAAAAATGAGTCCTTATTTTATTTCAAAATTCAAAATTTAGTCCTTAGACTATAATTTTGCAAAATTAAATCTTTGCACTATTTTTATTTGAAAATCCTGGTTCATCTCCTAGCTTAGAGTTTTAAACGATCTTAGTCGAGTTTGAGTATTGTTGAGTTAACTTGACTCGAAAAGTTTAAAGTTGAGTTTGATTCGAATCAAAAGCTAACGAGCTTAAAATTGTCAAACTCGACTTAAACTCGAAATCAAAACTTGAAGCTGAACTCGAAAGTTCGCAAGTTTAAAATTTTCAAGCTTGGCTCGAAATCAAAACTTGAAGCTCGAGTTCGAGCTTGAAATGACTTGAACTCAAAACATGTTCATATTTAACTTGATTGAGGCTCAAACTCGAACTTGAGTTTGAACCTGAACCTTAGGTACATTAAAGTCTTATATTGTATTTTTTTTCAAGTTGCTCGCGAACTTTTTGAGTCGGATGTCAAGTATTTCATTTCGACTCATTAAGAACTCGAGTCAAATTTATTCGATTTGAATATTAATTGAGTTTTGACCGATTCAACTCGAATAGTTTATGATCTGTCTCATCTCATTTACAATCATATTCTAACTTATATTCAACTTTAACGTTAGTTGATGACCTTGATCCGTCTCTGGTTACCAGAAAGTGTCAATTATCAAGCTTTAGGGTTCAATTATAACCCTTTACTTGCTCTGCTTTTGTCAAAACATATGAACAAAGGGATTGCTCTGCTTTTGTCAAAACATATGAACAAAAGATTCCCCTGTGGAGCAAACAATATACATATATAATAAAGATAAAGTTGGGGGGGGGGGGAAGTAATCCAACTGGGTCGTAATCTGTTTATTATTTTTAATGTTTAGACTCAACTTTTTTATTATTATTATTATTATTTAATATACAATAGCTAAATGTGAATAAAACAACAGGAAACTGCCATGCTAGTAAGGGTGCGTTTGGTTTACAGAATATAAGATTACCGGTGGGAATAGGATTATCGGCAGGAATAAGATTACTGAGAATGTTATATTTTATGTTTGGTTCGTTTAGCAGTAATGTAAGATTACAGATTTTAGTTAAAGGAATAAAAGATTATTGGAATATATATTTTATCAAATTGTCTTTATTATATATTTATTTTTTTAACAAGTTGAATTATACTATAATATTACAATAATTAATTTATATATTTTCTTTAAAAATTTTAAATTCATAAAATTTATATAATTTTTTTATAAAATTAAAAAGATAAATAGGTTTAATGAAATGATAAAATTTTATTTTAACCCCTGAACTTCATATAAAATTCTAATTATGGATTTTTTTGTAAATCTAAAACAGTTTAAACATAAATTTGTAATTTAATCTTTGTAGAATTTTTTTTATTCAACGAAAGAATAAAAATATTTTTGGGGAAAAAATTAAAGGCATTTTATTTCAAAACGCCATGAATGTAACAATACCTAAGGAAATGGGTATTCACATTCCCGATAATATACCTCAAAATACCACTGTTAGGAATAACTTATTATCGGGGACTGAGAATGTTTGCCAACCAAATGGGGGAATGACATTCCATTCCCACGGTAATATAAGATACCATGAACCAAACGCCCCTAAATGGTACCTAAATTCCTGTTTGAACAACAATTTTTCTTACAAGACAATCAAAAGGTAAAAAGTTAAAACCTTACATGTACTGAAGATTATCACTATTTTCACATGTTCCCATGTCAAAATTGTTGTCATTCTTCCGACCATGTAACACAATCTCTTCTCATATTTTCGGATGGGAATCAGAACCGAGCGCCTTAGATCGTATAAGTCGATGAGAAGATCTGCTGCAACGGTTTCGTTTTGGAATGATACACAGATTCGTTCCGACCCTAGTCAGTTGTGTTCATGTGATCTGCATTCTCCTACTAAGTCCCGACTCGCACCCTTATACCTGCTTGCCTATCAAGTCGAGACCGACCAAAAGGAACGATATCCCTTGAAATAGCAAGAAATAGAAATGGATACCCTGTGCAGATAGGAGGCTCCTAGCTGAAGCTGTTAGAAGAAGGAATGCAAGAGCTAACTCCTTTGTGCATATCCTGTCATGCTTCGTTTTCGTAGTCATTGGTTCTTGCTGAAGATCGACATTGAATTCATTGAGATTGGGTTTGGATCCCGCGCGCTGATGTTTTGCCTCTTTCTCAACCAAGGAGACAAGATCGCCTTCGGATGATCGGCCAGATTTTTTCGTAACAATCCACTCGTATGAACTACCAAGTTGGAAAAGTCCAGAGATCATGGCATTGAACTTGGTCACTGACATAGTATTCTCGAAAAGAAGGTACGGGACAATGAATGGGAACAACTCCGGGACTGGAGGGACATTTAGGAATGACATTATAGCAGGGATGTAACATACAACCCATGCCGAAAGCTCAGCCTCTGGAACGAACATAGCCATGGGGAGAATTATGCAGAAAATAGTGAAAGAATAAAACGGCAGGATCAGTTTTCTAAGCAGGAAGAACAGAAAGATTATATTGAATTTCTTCCACACACTAATCTGCATCAGTCAAAATATGGAATAAGAACAAAGTTCATCATCGCAGGTTTAAGCAAAGATCGGTTCGAAAATGCATCCACCTTAGCACGGATAATGTCCGGCAAACAGAGGTGGAACAACTGCATTGGTCCGGAGTGCCATCTATGCTGTTGTTTTCTATAAGCTTCAAAAGATTCAGGAAGTTCACATGGACACTGCAAAGATAATAAAAGACCAAAAACATCGACTACTTGTCAAGAAAGCGAAAAGCAGATAAATTCGACCACCGATACGATAGATTAAACTCGAGTTATACCTCAACATCATCGAGGAAGATGAACTTCCATCCTCGAAGATGAGCTCGGACAGCGATATCCATGTCCTCAACGGTAGTCCACTCCAACCAACCACCGGATTCCTCCAAAGCCTTGATCCTCCACACTCCAGCAGTCCCATTGAAACCGAAGAAATTAATGAAAACACCATTCACATGTTGTTCTACCTCAAAATGAAATGACAAATTTATGTTCTGCAATCTTGTTAGCAAATTCTCATCCTTATTCACAAAAGACCATCTTGCCTGAACCAATCCTAATTCCTCATTATTCTGCAACATATAATCAAAAACAGCATTTCACTTCAACTAATCCTAAACACACCAATTCGAATAAAAAGTAGTTACATTTAGTTACCCTGAAATGGGGGATGGTTCGTCTGAGGAAATCGGGGGCCAGCTGGAAATCGGCATCCAAAATGGCAACATATTCACAGTCTTTAACATAACTACAATTCATTGCAGACTTAAGATTACCAGCTTTATAGCCATCTCTAATCACACGGTGCCTATACACAATTTGGTCACCTTTTTGTTGCCATTTATGAACATCCTCTTTAATAAGCAGCTGAGTTTTTGGATCATCTGAATCATCCAAGACTTGCATCAAAGATTTCCACTTTGGCCATTCCAAATTGCAAACTGCAGCCAGAGATTGTTGGTAAACCTGCAAAAAAATATTTAAAATATCAAATTTAAGCCATAATTAAAAATGGGATTCTTTTAAAAATGGCAAAAAAAATTCTTTGGGGTTTACCTCTCTTTCATTACACATAGAGATCTGAATGAGAACCATAGGGAAGAAAGTGTGTTCCCCAAGTTCAATATCTGCAACAGCTTCTTGCTTGGGGATTGGTTTGATTCTCTTGAACCGGATCCAAAAACAACCCAAACAAAGAATTAACGGATCCAAGCTTTGGACAAGGAAGAGAATTTTGCAGACATTGGCGAGAAACTGAAGAGGAGGGGGAGAGATAATCGACCCGAAACAAAACCCAACCGGCATAGAACCAATCGAACAAATCTTTAACACGAAGAGGAAACGCGAGGATGTATTGTAACTGAAGATGCGGGGAACCGAAATGCCAGCCTTTGAAATACACGGCAATCCCGAAACCGAATAGCAACAACGATAGCACGAGGAACACTGATGAAGTTATAGAAACATGTTCTAACGGTTTTGTTTTCGTCGGTTTCGATGTCGGTTCGTCCGGAGGCGACCCGACGACGTACGGCTGAGCCGAGTCTGACCAATGTGGAGCCAATGGAGGTTACGAAACCGGCGGCGCTTTGCGCTTTTAAGAGGAGGACCCAAGTGAGCTGCTTGGCGTTTTTGCTTTTCCCTTTTTCTTGGGAATTTGTTGGTAAGTTATCGACGAGGAAATCATCTTCCGATGGAACTTCCAGTTCCACAATTGACAAGTTTGGGTTTCCCATTTTGATGTCCACCGTGGTTCCTTTATGGCTGTCCTTCGGCCACCATGGCGCCATTGTCGAAAATTAAAAGCTTTTGATCAAATATAAGAAAAAAGGCTGAAACTCTAACAATATTATTATTATTATTATTAAGTATAAAAAATATATTTTGAAAATATTCCATAAGATATTAAAATAATTATTGTTAAATTTTAAAATTTTTAACTAAAAAAAACCAATGAGTTAATAATTGTGTGGAACAAAAAGAGTAATTTTTAATGAAAAACTAATTAATATACACGTATAAGTTAAGATTGTACATTTTATGGTTTAGAGATTTTAATTTTATGATTATGTTGATGTAAAAAGTGGGATTTTACTATATGTTGGCAATTCATTTCTTCTTATTTGGGTGGAAAGTTGCAGTTGATTGTTTCATTTAGAAGAGAAATATAGAATAGTGGTCTCAGAATGTTGAAAAACAATAGAGAGAGATATGTCGAGAGAGAGAGAAAGTCTGTCTATTTTCAATCTTGTATGATGGTTGCTATAAAGATCTTTAGTACTGATGTCGGGCCTACAAGATGGTTATGCTTACAAGATGAATAGACTTGTCTTGTTAGTAGATTATGTGGATTTGTTACTGATCATATCAAAAATATTATAGTTCTAAGAGGATATAGAATTCCATAGGTTTTATGGAACACCAGAGGCTTCAAAGTTTAATAGGTACAAAAATTATTGTAACTTTTGAAAGAAATATGAAAGAGGTACAACACTCGTTTACACACATCAAAGGGATGTTATAAAAGAAATTTGACTTAAGATTTGTGAAAATAAAAAATTTGACTTGTGAAAATTAAGTAAGAAAGCAAAAAGAGGGAGAAGATATAGACAATACTTAATAGAGGAGGATAAAATCATAAAAAAGGAAGGGGATGAAGGAGGAACAAGAAAATAAGAACATAAGAAAGTGAAAGCAAGGCCAGCAACGAACGATACTAATAATATAATTTTACTGACAATTTTTAATTTTTACCGTATGAGTCAGAATCATGCTTTTAAAATTTTAAAAAATATAAAGATTAAAAAATGATCAAATTAAAATATTTAGTTTAAATCTATAATTCACTCGCAGTACATAAAATAATAGAAGAATTTGACATGAAATTGCGTCAAAGAATTTCCGATTTTCCCTTCCATCGAATTAATAATGGTAACTCCGGCTATTATTGCCACAAACACAACGACGAAACCAACTGACAATGCTGATTATATAATTTAGCGGCTTTCTTTCTTTAAAAGAAGTAAAAAGTATAATTAAATAACATATATAAAATTATTAAATTAAAAATAAGATTAATATTTTAAAAATTAATATGAATTGTTTAAAAATGATACTGATTTATCTATTTACAAATTCAAATTGATTATATAAACTTTGAGGCTCATATCTTACGTTTGGCAAAATTTGGACAAATATGAACAGAGATGGATCAAAGATGGTTCATAGGGTGGTCACTTTCACAAAATATCAAAATCTCATATAATCTAGATTTTTTTTTATGTTTTATATTGATAAAATATTTTCGTTCTCTAATATAAAATCATATGCTTATCTCTATTATCTAATACACTATTAATGGAACAAATAATTTCATGAATAATATTAAAATATTATCAAACGTCGCATTGTTTTTCTTACCAATAGTATATAAAATAATAACTCGAATGATTAATGATGAAGTGATATGTTAAAAATCCAGCCCTTGTTATCATCAATCAAGCCTGTTTGGATCCCTACAAGAGTCGAACCCAATGCTTGGCATGCAGAGTTTTCAGCCACTTTGAACTCAGTTCTGTAGGGTCAAACAAATATAATTTTTTTTTAGTTTATCATAAATTTAATGGAAAATGCATATATAATATTAAATAAATAAATAAATAAAACTTTTACTAATTAATCACCTTCTGCCTTTGTACGTAACACTCCCCACAGAGGCAACTCCCACTGCAGTTCCAGTGCAAAAAACTTCATCAGCTTCCCTCAATTCGTTCACCCATATAGCTCTTTCCTCTACCTGATTCCGTTTTAATCAAATATGTTATTAGACCTTAGATGAATATCGGATACGAATATATGTTCGATAACATAAACGAAAGAACAGAAACAGTCACCTGATAACCGAGATCACGCGCAATTTCAATAATGCTTTTCCGAGTAATCCCGGGAAGAATTGTTCCACTTGTAGGAGGAGTTGAAATAACATTGCCCTGCAGAGTATACGTCGGACCAACTTCTTCGAGCATATTCGAATACGTATCGAACATAAATATTAAAAAAAAAAGAATTTGTACCTTCAAAATAAATATGTTGGAAGCAGAGACTTCCTCCAGATACTTTTTATTTACAGAGTCAAGGTACAAAACGTCAGAAAATCCCTGGCTTTTAGCCCTGAGAAGTGCTTGCATCACCGGTCCATAATTCGAAACGGTTTTCACTCCACCAACTCCACCCGGAAATGCACGAACCGAATCTTCTTCAACATATAAGTTCAATGGCGCTTTACCTTGCTGTTATGTCAACAAATTGTGTTAATCTCATGTGAAGTTAAAAGATGTTTAAATGAAGGAGCACCTTGAAATAGTTTCCAACAGGGGAAGCATATGTGAGGAACACGAATTCGGCCGCCGGACCGACACCCAGAACCGGTCCGCTTCCGAAGAGCAATGGTCTAATGTAAAGGGAACCTTTTCTTGGTGGAGGAACCTGTTCAATCATGCCAATTAAGGATAGAAAAGAAAAAAAAAGGTATTCAGAGATGAATTTTATATGTACGGAGTCGAATCAAGTTCGGGACGAATACCCATCGGTCATTCGCGATCACGGTTTGTTTCGCTGCGTGGATAAACTGATCAATGGAAGGAGATGGCAGACACATTCTTTCAGCACCAATCTTCATGCGAATGGCATGTTGATCAGGCCGGAAGAGAAGCAAGCTCCCATCTTCTTTCCTGTTTGCTTTTAAACCCTCAAATATACCCTGGGAGTTTCGATATATGATATTTTAGGAAAACGAACTTCGAACATAAACAATAAAACGAATACAAAAGACATACATTTACCTGTCCATAATTCAAGACACCTGCAAAAGGGCTGAGTTCAATGTTTGCATGGCGTGAAAGCTTTCCTTGTACAAAATTTCCATCTTGACAACATTTCATGATATACATAAAATCAGTTGGTCGGGGACTGAATCCTAGGTTGTCCCAATCCACGTCAGCATCATCTCCACTATATAAAACGCATAAATATAGATAAAATTACTAAACCCCAAACCTTACACCTCAAAATAACATAACTTTATACTCAAATAAGCTTGCTATGAACAAAATCTAACTTCAAAACTATACCAACATCAATGCTAAACAAAATAAACTAAGATTAGCAGAAAAAATATCTACTTGTACGAAGAAGGGTCGCTTGCTTGCTCCAAAGTCGACGACGACAAAGGCGTCGACACAAAAGAACGATAAGCTCGAACCTGAAAATAAACATCAGATGATGGTTGTAGAATCATAAAAAATGGTGAAATCGAACAAGATCAGTGTACCTTGGAAGGGCCAACAAAAGATTGAAGAAAACGGAGGAATAATGAAGTTCTCATATTTTTCCCACTACCTTATTGCTCTTACGAAATGTTACGTTCGAGGAAGAAGAGAAGGACGTTGTTGTGTTGTGAGAATATACAACTGCAACACGAAAGGAAGGGTTCGCCGCACTCTAAAATTCGAGTTTTGGTTAAATTAGATAAAATTGATAGCTTGCAATTTGTGAGAACAAAAATAATTATTTTGTTGGGTTTCTTGTTGTAGGCATTTTTGTAATTAGGTAAACATTTATCACGTGTTAATGTATCGACTATTAAAAGTTATAAAGTTATCTTCCGGCTATAGAGCATTAATTTGTTGAGTTATCCAACTATTAAAAATTATAAAATGGTCACTCAACTCTTCATTTGTTTCAATCTCATCCTTTTCCATTAAAAATTTTATGACAACCTGAGTTGAATGTTAACATGCTGATTGTGATATGATAAAATCCAATTCTAGATTCTCAAACGACTATCATATCTTAGTCAACATGTTAACATGCAACTCAGACGACCGTAACTATTTTAACGGAAAATGATGAGTTTTGAACATATGAACAGTCATGTGATCATTTTGTAACTTTTAATAGTCGATTGACTAAACAAAACAATGCCTATAGAATGATCATTTTATAACTTTTAATAGTCAGAGACTTAATAAAACAACATCCTATAGTCAGGACCATTTAAAAAATAGATGATTCATGAGTCTATGGTATTCATTAACTTAAAAGGCAAAAATCTATTTACTTAAAAATCATAAGAGAAAAAAAAAAGCAAGAATCCTTTTAGATATGATAAAATACACTTATCCTATCGTTTGAAAAATATACACTTTATCATATTTTAGTAGAGAATTTTTACAACACAATTTAGAGAATCTATTTACAATTTTTCTAAATTAAAACTTTTGAATAACTTAATTTAAAATTTTAAAAAATGTGGATGTAACAAAAATTCTCAAAAAATATTAAGATTTAATAAGAACTTTTAATTTTTTTAAGAGTAATTTAAAAAATTCAAAATTTTTGTTTTGGGAATAAAAATTAGTTTTATAAATTACGAGTTAATTAAAAAAAATTATTTTTAAAATTATTATTGTTAGAAAAGTTTAAAGAGATATCTAAAAACAACCATCTCATTCCATATTACTTAGACAAACCTTCTAACTATTATTTTTCTTTAATAGTTCGAGCTAATTACAAGAAAATAATTGTTTAAAATTTCCTCAACCTATTAACAATGCACACATCCCCTGCGGGTGCAATTGTTAAACTCAAAATTTATAGGAATAATAACATTCTATTTTAATGTCGAGACCAATTAATGGTTCCATAACCTAATTACTTGTGTGCACGGAAACTATGTATCTATTCATTGAATTTAATCAATCTAAAGAAATATTTAATTTTTATCCAATTCAAGACTTTAACTTCCTCCATTATCATCTTCTAGCCAAGTAAAGAGTTTACCTTCCTCCACTATCAGCTTCTCTTATTTATAGCCAATTCAAGAGTTTATCCTGCTCCACTATTATTCTAAATTCACCTAAAACGGTTAATTACATTCTTCATTGTTATTTTTATTATTATTATTATTATTAATTCACACATTATTAAATAGCAATAGTTTTATATGCATGCACTTCTTTTTTTAGTTACACGTTAACTTTATTTTTGTTTATATACACGTGAAGGTTTTATATACATGTGTGATTTCTTTATTTATTCTTACAATATACATTTATAATTTATTTATTTTTAATAGTATGAAGTGATTACACTGTAAAATCTATTTTTAAAAAAATTATTTATTTATTATGCATACACATCCTGCAGACACGATTATTCCAACCCAAGATTTCTAGAGAGGATAATCTTCCCTCTTACTACTGAGATCATTTGATAAGTTCGAAAATTTTGAAATCTTAACTTCAAGTCTCATTAAAATAATGTGGGTTTAGTTCAATTTTACTCTAATTATTAGTTCAGATTCGTAATAAATAAATAAATATGGTTTGGTGTCTGCTTGCAGCCAGATACGGAACCATATAGGTGCGGGGTAACGGCCACCAAACTTTGATGGTATAATTACCTTTTAAGTTGCTTGTAATTTTGAAACTATTATAATTTTGAAATTAAACCTTGAGCCCAAATTTATTTGACTTAATTACTTTTTAAGACTTTTAATTTTAAAATTAAAAAATGAAGCCCTTATTTTTTAATTTTTATGATTTAATTAATACTTAGACCCTATTTGTTTTAATGAACTCTTAAAAATTTTACAAATCTGGCCAATAGTAAGATGAAACAATCTTTAAAGAGGATTTTTATATTATTTGAAATTTGAAAACCCAAACTCGGCTCAAACTTTAAAGTAGAAATAAAAATTTGAGTTAACTCAAATAATATGGAATTCGATTTTTTTTTCTGAGTTGAATCAAATTTCATTTAACCCTACTTATATGTTTTTTTATTTATTATGAACCTGAATATTTGTGAATTAATAATTGGAATAAAATTGAACTAAACCCACATTTACTTGAATATGCCGAGTGTCGACCCTACAATAACTTTTACTTGAATATGCCTGGCTGGCTCTTTTATTAACATTCCAAATAGTGTCCCTTTTGAAGCACGACGCCCGCATCACTGGTGGTAGGTCGATCATGTTGCTGTAGGAAAGTAGGTGGTTCCTTTTATCTTGGTCATGGTATAATAGAAATCGAATTTATTAAGCAGTTTTAGTGATAAAAGAGAATATTGTTTTGTTTAGATGATTCAGATTCAAATAATTGTGTTTGTAAGGTCTATGTGTATCGTCAATAAATAAAAAAGACTCTGAATAAATATTATCTTATAACCACCTAAAATATTCAAAATAATAATAATAATAATAATAATATAAACAATATAGAAGTCCACGAATTCTATTATAGCTTCTCTTTGTCCCTTTACCAATATTTTGTTGGTTTTATTGCTCATGTTTTTTTTAATTAATTTAAGGTGATTACAAATAGTATTTGTTTTAAAGATTTTTAATCATTTGACAATGAGAACTCAAACATTCTCCCCGTCTCTAATGCTCGAACTTGAAACCTTTAGAGATAACAACTATACATTTGACCACTGAAATTACTTGGTCCATGCTCAAGTTAAAAATTTGTGATTATCTCAAAAATAAATTTATCTTTAAAATTTAAATCTATTTTTTTAAAATATAATATATCTTATTGCTATATTTAATACATATTAATCTCAAATGATAATATTAATAATTAAAAAGATATTTTACACATCATGTGTCACATATCCATGAGAAATCTAGATGTTCTCTTTAGGTACAAATGAAAAGATTTAGAGACCAATAATAATGATTATAGTGAAGCCAGTGACAATCAATAAGAATATATCTCCTCCGGATCTCCTCCTTAAATTGTATATTTGTTGTCAATCTTTAGTCTTCTAGTCTTCAGAGTTCTTAAAATTTTTTAGAGTTTGATATTCTTGGGATAACTCTATTTTCTCCCCCCAAATAATTTTCCATGCAAACTTGGTTGTGAAATGCAAGTTCCATGGTATGCATTGTGGAAGAAACAACCCGATGATGAAGTATATACCAATGAACCGATCAACTCAGAACCAAATCAACACCAACTTTCATTAATAGTATAAGAAGCCTTAATTGTCACTGAAGTTTGAACTAGCAAATTCATATCAAACGAGAAGAAAAAACTCAAATCTAATAAATACTAGTAATAAAACCTCAACGAAGCTCAACACTCAACACACAATCCCATTAACACATTGCAATCAATTCTTACGCATAGTATGATGAAAGAATGACTAATCCAGCCAGCGCAAACTGTGAAGATTTCTTCAATAAAGTTTTGCAACTAAGTATATTTAACAGTAAACAAGAGACGTGCAGAGCATGCATGAAAGATATATCAAATCGATAAATTCAACAAATCATTCATCCGCGATAGTGGTGACTTTTCAGACATCTATTTATTGTTGATGCTGACAGCAAGATGGTTCCAACTATTGAGATCCCAACAAGGAGACTCTTTCAAAGCCTTTAGAGAGTCTCTGGACACTACCCAGACAATTATTTGAAATTGATCAATTGGTGTGTCTGAGTTTGATAAGTTCGTTGCAGGCACCGAGGCGATTGCTAAGAAGCTTGTCGAGCTGGGAGCCTGGGAGTGACAACAATCACCTGAGGGGGCAATTTCGTTGTAGCTGTGGAGAAGGTTGGGCTTGTCGACAATATGAGCCATATCTTGATCGTTAGTAGTGTCAACTTAGAGTTTTTGATTAAGATTTAAGGTTTAGGGTTTTGAATTTAGAGTTTAGAGTTCAAAATTGATAAACGACAAATAAACGATTTAGGGAATTTCAAAATACTAATAAATATTAAAATACATAATTAAATTTAATTTTAGATAAGACAAAATTTGTCCCAAACTATATAAAAAAGTTTAAATTGATTTCATTGTCACCTTTGGCCTACCAGAAAGGTCCTAGAGAGTTAATTTGTTGAATGTTGATAAGATTTGAAGAGTCTTAATCTTTGCATTGACCAAAAACAAAGAAAGGAAGAAGTTCGGGAACTTCTAGAAAGAGGCATAGACTTGGACCATACCATTTTGAATTACCATATCTTATATTATCTACATCTTTAGTCAATTGAAGGAGAAAAGTGATAAAACATATTTTTTATTGTTTATTAATTTAATGAATTTTATTTGATGTAATAGTTTAAGTATTAAACATGTAATTTATTTTGTTATATATTTTGTTAATCATTTAAAGTTTAGATATTATAATTTAAGATTTTAGATAATAGGATTGATTCAACATTAAAATAGATAAGACTATGTGAATCTAATTTTACATGGTATATAATACGATATTCAGAAATAATATGATATTGGAAAGTAATTAATAGCGTAGCGTAGGATCCACAATTGGATCTACTCATATGTCATTTGACAAAAGAACAATAAAATAGAAATGGCTTAATTTTTCTAAGCCTTCCTTTTTCAATTTTAATAGGTAAGCCGCGACGTCAATTATGATGATAATTGTGGTAGTTGATACTTTTTTATTTTATTATTTTGTATCTTTAACTTTCTTTTGTTTCTAATAATTTTATTTTATGATATAATTTTCTTTGTTTTCAAGGTATATTTTTCTCTGTCTTTTGACATTTTTTTTAAATTTTTTCGATCGTTTGATCGTTCTTATCGTTTATTTTTTTAGGGTTAGATTTGACGTCGTCGCGACTGATCAAGATCTAGCTTATTTGTTATCTCGTTGATTTTTCATGTTTTGCACACTCGAATTGGATTTGGATACGCAACTTGCATTTGTAGATAATTTTCTCATGATGCTTGACTCCAATTTGTATTTGTCAGTATCTTTTAGTAGTTTAATCCTCTGTTGTGGTTCGCTTACCGTAGCAATCATATCTATTCGTATCTACCTATTGTTTGAGTTTTTTTAATATTATTTTTACTTTTTCCTTATATGGTCCTTATATGATCTTAAGTAACTAGTTTCTTGTGTTAATGATTATAAGATAGTATTCTAATTATGTATTTAATTTACTATTCTAATTGTAAAACCTTGTTATAATTTTAAATATTTTTATTTCTTAATAAAATTAACTGATTTTATTTTTTTTTTAAAATGGGCACTTGCATGGTTCTAATAAGACACATCATATTTTTAAATAAATAATTTAAATCTTAATCCTAAAAACAGTATTATTTTATTAACACTAACAAGAATTTTTTTTTAATAATTTAAGGTGATTATAAGTGATGATAACAAGGTGGTATCTATCTACCATTTGTTTTAACTTGTTATTAAAAAAAAACCTTGTAGACATGATTGTTCGAACTCAGGATTTCTAGGGAGAACAACATTTTTTTACCAGTAAGGCCACTTGATGAGTTAACATTAAAAAGAATTTTTTAAATAGTCATGGATAATTACAAGATAATGTTTGATTAGATTTTTTTTAATTAATCTAGGGTGATAGGTAGTATATGCTCTAAAGATTCTCAACCATTTGACAATGAAAGCTCAAACACCTTTACAATCTCTGATGCTCGAACCTGAGACTTCTATGAATAATAATCACCCATTTAATTATTGAGGTAATTTGATTCGTACCAATTAAAAACTTTCTTAATCATTTGATAACAAGTATATTATAAATATAATTATTGAAAATTAAAATTAAAAAAAACAATATTTTCTTTTTATCACAGCTAATTAATGACTTCACGAAACTTAATATTAACATCAATACAAACATGCAAGATACAAATAAAAATACTCGCATAAGTATCCAAACCCATCTTTCTACTTTTGTTTTGTAAAGCACGCTTTCATATGAGAAAGTTCCTTTCCCTGTTTTTTTTCTTTTTGTTTAAAGAAGAACAAAGATCATATGTTAATTGCTTGGCTTGAAGAATAATAAAATATCATTGCCTACGAAATTCACTTCATTTTTTTTTTAAATGGTTACTTTGTATTAGAATTCACAAAACATCTCTAATCCTAAATAGATGAAAAAAAGTAAACATTGAGATGGAAGAAGGTCCAACAAGAACCTTAGAAAACAAGAAACACCAGCCGGGAACAACCCGAAACAGACTACATCGATGTAGTTACACACTACCCTGAATGAGGTTCACGAAAGAACTACACACATAACAACAAACAGACCAAACCCCCACCCTACCACAATCCCCAATCCGACACAATATGGAACCAAGACAAGTTGACCGAACAAAATGAACAGAAAGCAGGGAACCAATCGCATACACTAAAGCCATCGGATGAAAATACCCGAGGTAGAAGGATCACACGACAAGAAGCGACTAACATGAAACACCGATTAAACAAAGAACTCCAAGCACACGAGCACCCTCTTCCTTGAGACACCAAACTGCACCACCGGACTCTAACAAGGCATTCACTTCATTTATTCAATAAGTTATTCAAAAAATTTAAATTTATTAGAAGATTTAAAAAAAAACTAAATTTATAGAAATCAAATATATAAATATATTCTAAAATTATGTATCCTTAATTTGGATTTAAAAAAATAAATGAAATTCGTAACAAAATTTAAAATAGTTAATGAAATTAAAAAAAAAATTCATTACCAACACATCGTAGAATAGTTTATAAAAATAATTAAACGTAATATGATATGAATATAAAATTAATAAAAAAATATCATGAAATGAATTTAAAAGTTGGCTCAAATAGTTTATAACATGAATTAATAATATGATAAATTCTATATAGATATATGATATTTTAAATATAATATAAACACAAACTGATAAATGAAAAATTAAAATAAATGGTTCGAGAATAATAAATTTGTAATGATTTTGAAAAAAAAGTAGCCGTCCGAGAGGACTTAAATATTTAAAGACAAAGAATTTCCAAGGATCGACGTGTCAATTTCTGTCTCTTTCTAGAACATAAACATGATTGAAGCACCAAACATTTACCAAGTATAGAATAAGCACAATCCCCATTTTGCCCTCAACTTTAGTTTCCAGGGGAAACAAATAGTCCGGTAATTAAACGTAAAAGTCAAGATTAATAACGGAAACACAAGAAAGTGGACCAGCGGGTCGCCCATTTAGCTAACAAACCCGTAACTACCAAAACCCCTATTCAGTTCTTTAAATCCTCGCCATAGTATCTTTGACTCCCTCCATTTTTCTCATAATCAAAATCCAACAATCTTCACGAAAATTTCGCTTAATACAGTACTTTTGATTGTTTCTTGTTGCGTTAGCTCTGTTTTCAGTTTCAATGGCGGATATGGAGGGAGATTCTAAAGGAGTGCCGGAGAAGGAAGTTGATGACGCAGAAGAGATCAAGGTTACAAACGAGGATAATACTAATAACGTAATGAATCATCAGAAGAAGCAGCATCGGGAGAAGAAGAATAAGAAGAAGAAGAGAAGATCGTTGAGTTTTCCGAGACTTGGATGCTTGAGAACGGAATCTGTTAAAAACGGAGGTGTCGATATGGAAGTCCAGTTCCCGGGAGAGCGGAATGATTCTACTCATCTAGTTATCATGGTTAATGGAATCATTGGAAGGTTAATCTCGGTCATAATCGTTTTTATTATTATTATTTATGTGTTTGAAACTGCTTGATTGATTTATTATTATTTTGATATTTTTTCAGTGCTCAGAATTGGAGATTTGCAGCAAAGCAGTTTTTGAAAAAGTATCCTGAGGATGTTATTGTTCATTGTGAGTTCTTCGATACTCCGTTTCTTTTCTTACGTTTAACATGTGATTATGTTAAAACCGTTTAATTATCTCGCCTGTTTCTTCTTAGTTTTTTATCTGTTTAACGATTCTTCTCCAATACAACTCAATCCAATGCAAATTTGAATTAATACAACCTGAACTTAGACTTTAGATCTATCAGTAGTTATAAGAAGATAAGTCTAACTGATGGCTGATCCACAATATTCAAATTTTGATTGTTAATTCATTAAGTAGTGCTATTTTCATATTTAATATTTTGCTGGATGATAGAGAAGTGAACGCAAGACCATTGCCATTCACTAAATGAATATTTGTGATAATCATATTGTTAATGGGTTTCAGGATGAAATAATTACTGAATGATTAATGACTTAATTTGCAATGCAGGCAGTGAGCGCAACTCTTCAACGTTGACATTTGATGGTGTCGATGTAATGGGTGACAGATTAGCAGAGGAGGTATCTGTGCTATGAATTCTGTTTATGTTAAAAAATCCTTTCATTATCCATGATTGCAACTCTTTATTTTTCAATTCTGCAATCTGCTGCCTACAGTTGGGATATAGTTACTGTTCTGTAGTTTGATATTGCCTGTACATCCTTTTTTACCATTAATATTAGTTAAGATTTCAGGTTGGCATACCGATAGTAGAACGCTGTTGTATCTTTTTCAGGTCAAAAATGTGATAAGCCGTCACCCAAGTGTTCAGAAAATTTCTTTTGTTGGTCATTCATTAGGTGGCCTTGTAGCAAGGTATGCCATTGCGCGGCTTTATGAACAAGAACAAACTCAAGAAACTTCTCAAACAAATGGAGATTGTGGAACTGACCATTTGGGAGATTCATTCCCCGAAGGGCAATCAAAAGACAAAATTGCTGGACTAGAGCCCATGAATTTCATTACATTTGCAAGTCCACACCTCGGTTCTCTGTGGCATAAGCAGGTAGTTCATCAACCTGAGCTTTTTTTATGTGATTAGTAGTTGCTTTCAAAATTATCAGATACATTTCTTTTCAACACTATGTTATGATAAAATACAATTTTTTCAAGTTAAGTGAAGTCTTCAAAGTTCTTATGGAGACTACTGATTCAGTTTTTGTGTAGGTATAAACGTTGAACAATGAAATCTTTTACTGTTGAGTAAAACAATTGCGTATACGTTAGCACTTGCTTTTTACATTACAGGCTGATAATATTTTTCCTTATGTGGCTTTGCATTATTCAGGTTCCATTGTTTGGTGGATCATATGCACTTGAAAAACTTGCTGCTCGAATATCATGGTTGCTTGGCAGAACTGGAAAACATTTGTTTCTGAAGGATGGAAAGAATGGAAAACCACCGCTTCTTCTCCGGATGGTCAGTGATTGCGAAGATCTTAAATTTATGTGAGTTTCTGTAAGGTTCCTTTGTTAATTTAAAGCATGTGAGAGCAGATGGTAAATTCAAGGCTTATAGTTGTATCTTTTTTTAAACTGCAGCTCTGCTCTGCAGTCCTTCAGGCGTCGTGTTGCATATGCAAATGTAGGTTTCGACCGTATCCTTTTATCATATCAGTTGATTCTGCAGTTATGTTTTCTCCGCATCACTAATTCTTCAAGGAATATTTAATGATGTGACTAGATGTTTTAGGTTCTAGGACATGATCTATTCACATCGAAACTTCTTCATATGTTTAAGAACTTGACCCCTTTTCTTAGATATTGTTGGGTGGAGTACCTCTTCCTTGCGTAGACGAAATGAGCTCCCAAAGGTAACCATCAATCATATTCGTGGAGGTTTTTCATTGCAAATGCCAACGTAAATTTCTGTCCATATCAGGTTAAACATCTTCCAAGAGTTGATAAATACCCACACATCATTAATGTGGAGGCAGCAAAACCAGCTACACTTGATGAAGTCCCTTCTGAGGTCGAAGTCGGTGGAGATAAGAAAATAAACATGGAAGGTATTCTTTTAAATCATCTTTTAAAATTAGCAATCAAATCATTTGCTGTAATTTCATTTCCTTTGCTATTTTCGGTTGTTGGAATCTTTCACTTTGCTAGAATTGGTCCGTAATATTTTCTTAATAGTCAATAAGAGATTTATTCATTTTGAATTAGGATTAGAAAATTTAATCATGATATCATCATACAATTTTCAATAGCTTATAATCTCCAAACTGTTCCCTTATAATAACAGATAGGTATATCTGGGTTACATCCTAATCTTTAAGTAGTTCTGCAAACCTAAAATCCGAAGTTCTGAAAAAGGAGTTGTAAATGATTAAATGGTGAAAGTTATTCTTTTGGTCTATGTTGTTTGGAGTCGGGAGTGAGCGTTGGGTATGGTTATATGTTCTACACATGTACCCATACCCAAAAATCTGTCATTGACACTGTAGACACGTATTTTAAGAAAAAAGAAGAGTCGGAATAACATAACTTTTCAGGATGGTTGACAACGATTTCTATTTATTTTCCTCTTGTGCAATGGATCACCTATGAGATTATTGCTAAATTGTCAAACATATATCAATTTGTGTTTCTTTTACCTTGATTTGGTATATATCGTTAATCATTGGGCGTACAATCATTTTATTCATGGAAGAAAATGAATTGTCTCGAGATTGACATTATTTTTTGCTGGGGGCAAACTCATCCATTACATTTTTAAAGCTACATACTGAGGAAACTAGTTATTATCCTGTGGGCTCAATTTCACTTGTGATTATCAATATTTCAGAGGAAATGCTCAAAGGTTTAACAAAACTCGGCTGGGAACGAGTTGATGTTTACTTCAAAGGAAGCCGACAAAGGTTTCTTGCACATAGTACTATTCAGGCAAGTTATGCTTTTACAAACTCATACTACCATTCGGGCAAAGTTATTCTTTACAAACTCATTGCCTAGCAGATTTTATTGAGTTTTAAACCAAACTGAAAATCGAATCGAACCGAACCGAAACGTAAAGATAAATTGATTGACCCGAAATTTGACTCAGATTAGTTCAATTCATCTAAAAAAGCATCTCACCTCACTGATAGTTTATCCAAACAAAAATCGAACCGAATTCAATAAAAACTTAATTGAAATAGTTTGTATGCAGTAAGAGGTTACCTCAGTGATAGATGCTGCTACCTAACTAAGCGGTACTATTTTATCACCTTATGCCTTTTCAGGTTAAAAACTACTGGACTAATTCGGATGGAGCTGACGTAGTGCAACACATGATCGACAATTTTCTCTTATGAGAGGTCCAGATTCTTTCTTTATTACTGTACTACAAAATGGAAAAAACTGTCGGCGTGATGTTGAAACATGGAAATTTTAGTTCACTTAGTAGTGGTAGCCATTAACGAACGCAGAAGCAGATCGAATACCCATTATGTCAAAATCATGAAGAAAGGTATTAGAACATGTACATGTAAATTTACTATTGGCATATATGTATAGGTATTTAATAGTCGTAGCTGTCTTATGTCTTCAAATATTGTAAACATTAGGCAAGTTGAGACTTGAGAGGCTCAACATGGCTTATTTTCAGTCAGAAAATAAGGTGACAGGTCAGAGTCCTGGCGTGGCAGATGGCAACGACCGGACACCACGTATGTGGGCGTTGGATTTTTGGTATGACCAGTTATAGAATGTCTTGTCGGTTGTGTTGGGCTTTAATGGAGAAAGTAACACTATCAGAATTATTTTTAATTATTTTTCTCAAGTTTTATTTATTTATTTATTTTTGGATTTGAGAATTCTCTACCGACAATATTGTTTCCCATGGAGACAATACTCTGTACAGTAACTTGGACATGTGACGCCGACACTAATGAAAACAATATCCGTAAATTTGAAACAATTACTTTTTAAATCATTTAAAGTTTTAAAATTATTACAATTAAATTTTTGTTCCTCTTAATTTTTTTTGTATAATTTTTTTAAGAAAATATTAATTTTTAAATTAATGAAATTAAATCTTGACTCCAAATTTATCTGGTTTAATTACTTTTTAAGACTTTTAAGTTTTAAAATTAATAAAATTAATTTTTTAATTTATATGGTTAAATTATTTTTTAGATCTTATTTATTTTAATAAGCAACTTGTCCCCTCATAATTCTATTTTGGCTCCTTCCTTATATCCATGGTAAGAAAGTTTGAAACGAAGTAAATTAGAAATTATTAGGTGAGTTCTGATTGAATGCCTTAAAATCACCCTTTTATGTTTAGGCAAACAAAATTATAAATTTGATAATATAAGAATAATCTCATTATCTTCAATTTATTAAATAATCTTATATTATTTTCGTAATATTAAGTTTGTGTTGATTACTAAGAAATTCAGGCAGAAGTACTTAAATATGTAATTTTTGGACAACAGTTATTGAAGACCTCGATATACGGAAATCAAGTCTGCGGTGGAGATTTAAAAGAGATATAAGAATAACCGAGTGTTCTTTATGATTAATTATCGGATAAATGTGATCATTAAAGATTAATTATTGTTAGACTGTTAAAAGATTACTGACATCAGTGAATATATAAAATTAAAAATTAAAATACATAAATAATTATTAATATTTGAAGAAGTTTTTATTTTTTCATCAAAGTTTTAAAAGTAACAAATCAGTCACTAAAGCTTTAGTATTGTTAAGTGTTACCAGCAATCGTAAAAGTTTTAGTATTGTTCTGAGAGAAAAAAAAACACAGGCTTCTTTGATTTGTTTCTTTCCATGAAACCATTGTTGTTTTTGCGGAGTAAGGTCTTGTTTCGTCACCCATTTTTAGTCCTTTCTTTGAAGTACTAAAACTGCACCCATTGCTTATTTTTTTTTCTCTAAGTTATGCTTCAAAAAGGTTGTTCCTTTAGCTTTATAAAACTGTTACTGAGATGACAGGGAGTGAGGACTAAGGAGCATAAAAGAATGATTTTGTCAAAGAAAATGTTAATAGCTATTGGTGTTGCTTGCTCTTCATGGGGTGTAATTATCTCTTTGTTGTTTGGTTTATGGATTTGTGACAAAAATAATTCACTTGAACCCGTCAAAAAATAATGCCAACAACTCAGATATATTCCCTTGAGCCAATGCCCTGTTCATTCTTTTGTTCACAGTTTCTGGGATTTTGAGAGTGCACTTAAGAGTTGATTCTTTTGTGGTTAGATGCTGAGAAAGGGATTGCTTTGACACCATTTTTGGTTAAATTCAAGTCTACGAGGATGGCTTCCAAGGAGGGTTTTGCTTCATTTATGGATTACAAGGTATTTGCGGAAACTACCAACAACATCAAAGTAATATTCTGGGAATTGGTGGATTTGGATGTGTTTACAAAGCTCAATTTGTTGATGGTTCTTCTGCTGCTGTCAAGAAGTTGGAATATTCAAGTGATGACTCAGAACAAGAGTTACTTTGGGAGAAGGAAAACTTATTCGGACGTTAATGACTATTTGTGGATTTTTTTAATTTTATATATTTAAATTAATTTTCAATGACCACATTTTAATTTTGTTAAATTGAAACAAAATGAAAGTATCAAATATTATATTTTTTTAAAAATTCAATGAAAAAATATATAAAACTTAAATGAAAATTATCATAATTTACTCTTAATTAATTATTGACCGAGAAAAACTAACATTTCAAATATTATCATTCCTACTATTACGTAAATTGTGCTAATATATTTTCAATGTTAACTTTCATTCTCAGCACAATTTAATAGGAGTAATTTTTCTGACATAAATTAAAAACAATTTTTGATTAATTGTGGACGAAAGTCTTGATGTAGAATAGTTGAATCCGCAAACTGTTCAAAGTAGTGAACCCCACGCGTTCAATGTAATGAAAAAAAACAAGTGCCATCAAGTTGTCGCCAAGTGTATTGTTTTGTTTTTGCCGTCAAGTGTATAATTCCTTTCACCCATTGTTGCTGCTCCTGCTCCTGCTTCTGCTTCTGAAACAACACACTCCAACATTCCAGGTTACAAAAACGGTACTGTTTTTCTCTTTCAAATTTACATTTTTTATGGATATGTTGCTCTTTGTTATATTCTCGAGAAAATACTGTGTTTTTCAATGGATTTGTCTGGTTTTTTTAAGTTGAAAGAGATAAAATGTGGGTGTCAATTTGTTTTGTATGTAAGGTTAAAAACAGTTAACCAGAGATGGATCGTAGTGTTGATGTGATGATAATCCTTAAAATTTTGAAATTCTCGTATAATTTAGATATGTTCATATAAGTATTTTCATCCGATTTATTTTTCTCTTATTCGGACAGATCAAGCTTTGCTTCTCGCATAGGATCGGAAACATATTCGAGGGTTGATCATGATAAAGCCATCGGGTACCAGAAACCAGAGGTGCAAAGGCGTCAAGGTAAAGCATGTGTTGCAGATATGTGGGATGCTTGCCCTTTGCATCTGGCTGCTGCATCAGTTTAGAAGCACTTACGATCATAATGCCATTGGACTTGTTCAAACTGTAATGAGTGGGAATGGGGCTTTGAAACTTGGGAGGAAGGACCTCGATCCTCGAATTCAAGTGTCGTCGACGATGGAGATCATCGAAACCGGAGAAGTTGAAGCCGAAGATGATAAAAGAGGGAGTGACCAAGAGAAATCTGAAGGAGAAGAAAGCGAAGAAGTTGAGGATCTCATTGATGAGGAAGATACACTCGAAAGTAGCGATTAAAATCTCGAGAAAATTGAGATACAAAGCATTTATGACGAGAAGTCGATGTGTACACTTCTGCTTCCTTTTCTTTCGATCGTGAGAAATTGGTTAAGATCGTAAATAATTAGGAAGGAACAAAATCAGTGTAGTGCTGTATCAATACGAGTTTTGACTTGTAAAAGTATGTATAATGGGATCGAAATATATATATATATAACTTAGTTCGGATTAAATACAAATATGTAAAACTTAAGATAAATTATACGTTTAGTATCTAAATTATTATTTTTATTTCAATTTGGTACCTAAACTTTATTTTTTTCAAAACCATACAAATAGGAGTAATTTGAAAGTTTGTAGATTACATTAAAAAAAATAAACTCCAATGACCAAAATAGAAGTGAGAAAATAGTTGAGTGATAAATGATGTTATTTACCCATGAAAAAAATGCCACATACGACATCTACGTTTTTAACGGCGGAGATGCTAAAATAAAACATAAATTAAATATTATGTATGATTTTGAAAGAAAAAATTTAGGTACTAAGCGTATAATTTACCATAAAACTTAAAACAAAGTACGAGCAGACATGAAAATATGATAATAAAATAAAATTAATTTGGTATTAGATTATTATTATGATATTGTTGTTTATTTTCTCAATGAAAAATTTAAGTCATGATGTTTCTTAAATATCATCGAAGCTGAATGATCTTATAAATCATTTATTCGAATTTAAAAATATTGATATGTGTGTGAAATTGTTCGAAATATAAATATATTGATTTTGAGTTGAAGAATAACTTTCGTGCGTCCTCATCTTCGATAATGTTCAATTTTAATCTGAAATGACATTTTTAAAATTAAAAATAGAGTCTAAACAATGATATACCAATCAAAAAGCTGAGAATATATAGAAAAAAACAAAAAAAAACAATTATTTTGTGTAACAATTAAGATATCTGATTTATTTTTTTATTTTTAAATAATTTAGATCAGATAATTAGAGAAAAACAGATAATCAAATCAGATACAAGCGTCTAACTTTTAATTTGATCAATAAATTAATTAATTATGATGGGTTTATATTTGGGGTTGGGTGCGTGGGTTAGGCTATATCATGAATTGGGCTGGGTTTTGTTATGTTTGTATAATAATATTGGATTTCTTAAAAAAAATCTGAAATTATTATTGTTTGAAACTCTTAAATTCGAAAACCGAATTAACTGAAAATTTTCAGTTTATGCCTTTTGATTTATTCGGTTTTGTTTGTTTAATCTACTGTTTTGCATACCCATAATCTTGCTTATTTTGATTTTTAAAGCAGTAAGAGAAGTTTATACAAAAACACATGAGAGGTATAGAGCGTCGATAACATCAGTTATGTCTGCATGGGTTTCTATTGTCAAAATTTTTAAAAAAAATTATAAACAAGATACTTTCTTATAATCACGTCAAATTATTAAAAAAAATATTCATTCGGTTGAAGGAAGAGTATGGGATATTTGATAGTGGAAAAATATATACGTTAATGGAATGAGTGGATAATGGTGATTTTCAAAGTGATGATGATTTGAGTTTTTGACGAGGTGATTTTAGGTATGTATTTTATCGTATTTTTTCATTTGACCGATATCAGACGAAACCAATCACGTCGGTTTTTAACCGCATCTCGGATACCACACAACAGAATAACCGAAGATGAAAAGGAAGGTCAGTCCAACCATTGAAGTATAGGATCTCTTCAATAATTTGACCCTTCATCTATCAATGTCAGGAAACAGGTTTGTTTTTTTTCTGGCAACTTGTGTTTGGTCCCCATATTTGCAAAAGGCATGCCATGTCCTACATTAACATATGTTTATCTAACAGCCCAAAAAAAGCTACAAACTAGAAGAAGAAGAAGAAGAAGAAACATATCCCGTACCTACCCGAGTTCGAGTAACAAAGATCTACATAGAATCAGATTGCGAACAAACGTAAACGATACTTCGACATACCGACTTCATCCTAGTCTAAGGTAAAGAAACCAGAAGCTGCAAAAGGAGCAATATCAGCAGAAATTGAAATCGAAAGAATACCGGTTCGTCTTAACTCTAATCTCAACAAAACTCAAGGAACTATAAGGCAATGAGAAAACAGAAGAAATCGATGAAATAAACTACAAAGGCAATCGTATATCAAGTCGAGTGATTACATTAGGAAGGGGGTTTTTCAATGGAAATTTACTTTGATCAGTTAAACAAGAAACATATGTAGATTTAACATAAAGTAGCAATGAGGACACAAGCATATCTACATGACCAAATCCATGTTTCGGTTGAAGATCTGTCCTCTATATGCAGACAGCATTCTCCGAGCCTTACATCCTTATTCCTTCATATAATGCCAGCAAGAAAAACCGCTCTAGAGACGGAAAACATGCAGGAGGATGTATGTAGCACGGTTCGAAAGTTATAGAACGAATTCAACCAACGGCCTACAGCACACAGAACTGAATATGTAATGCTTGATATAACATAACAAGGATTGACAAATATGAATGCTTACACAACTTGAAGATACATGATAAGTTCATACCGAGTGCAGAAGGCTGCCACTATAAGCAGGTCGTTTCCGAGGTTAGAAACACAAGGAACGTCTCCCAATGCAAAATCTTATCTAAATATTTGATTAAGATGTAATAACATTCATAACACATGAAGTTCTACTTACATATAACATATCAACATCCTTCCTTCACACAAAACCTCCTGAAACAGACTGATCATATTCGTATCGGAGTATAGAAAGGCCGAAAGACACCGAAATTCGGAATCCGAATAATGCATAGGTAAAAGATTAACACATTAGTATACCTAAACATTAATCAGCATACAGAGAAGAAGAATCCACCAACAATGATCATATCAAAGGCTATTACATGCATGGATCAGATACAAATTATGTGATTCTGCAATTGATTTTCTATGGAACAATGAGATACAAATGCAGGAATGAAAGTAAAATACAAACAAATTTATAGGACAAAAAGTGAATGTATGGGGAATTGGGAAAAACATACACATCGTACATCATCATCACCATCTTGGCCATTAAATACATTGAGACAACAATAGTAACAACATCATGAAAACTGCTTCTCAATCCCATTGTCTTGTTCCTCTGCATTTCAATGAGTGCTCCTCCTCCACCTTTAAAATCTCATCAAAGATAGAGAAAGACACAACCCCCCAACCCCCAAAAAAATCTAAAAGAAAATGGTGTAAGACTCTTTTTAAAAAAGAAAGAAACATATACATACACACATATATATAGCATTTATATTTGCCTGGCTCCATCCTGTCTGCCTAAAGGAGTGGGTTGAGTTTATTACAGAGGGAGAAACAGATATATATTGTACTTTGTCTCTCTCATGTGTGAATCCATGGAAGTGAGCTTCGATTTACAAAGGGAAGCTTGGTCGTAGAAGGCCATCACAGTAACAGGTTTAAGGTTTCGATGGTGGGTTTAAGTGGAAGGTGGAAATGAAACAGAGCTTTCCTCTCTTTTGAGGTCGTCTTGTCTGCGTCTTGATGTCAGAAAGAGAAGGTTAAAAAGCAAGAAGATAAAAGTGGGGTTCACGGCTAAAAAAAAGTATCGATTTTGTTAAGTAGTACCGATTTTATTATTATTGTGTATAATAAAATCGGTAAAAATTATTGAAAATACCATTATTTTTATTAATTTTGTTATTATTTAATATTTTATCAGGTAAAAATATATTGATTTTGTTATTTTTGTGCATAATAAAATCTGTAAAAATTATCGAAAATATTATTATTTTAACAAAACATGTAAAGCGTTATTGGTTTTGTTATTTTTTTATTGGTTTTGTTATTGTTGGGCATTTTACCGGAAATATTAAAAAATATTGATATTTTAGGTATAAATAATAATATTTTAAGTAATTTTTACCGATTTTATTAACCCAACAATAATAAAATCGGTAAAAATAAACTTTTTTAATGATAAAATTAGTAAACACAAATTATACAATTTTTTTAAAAAAAATTTATTATAAACATCAAATACAATAAAATAATATTATTTATTAACAAAATAATAATATTATTTATTAACAAAATAATAATATTATTTTTAAAATATTAGAATAATTTATTTAATATTATTTATGTCAATATTACTATTAAAATATTATATCTATAATTTTATAAATAAAAAATTATGATTATTATATTTTATTAAAATAAAATTATTATAAATTATATTTATTAATTATTATGATAAGAATAATATATCATTAATTATATTATAATGAGATAATAGTGAAACATATGTGTCGATACATTTTCAAAAAGTATCGACACATATGTTACATCAAAATCGATAATTATAATATAATATGTAAATTTACAATATAACCGGTATAAATATACTGATTTTATGAGAGAATATGTCAACATAATGTATCGACACAAATTTAAAAAGTGTTGATACTTTTTTCCAGAATGAATGCCCAACGAGTTGCACGCATAAAGTGTCGATACATTTAAAATTGTATCGATCCCAAAATCATCGAAATCGATAATTATAATATAATAGATAAATTTGCAATGTTTATTTTTAAAATAATATTATTATTTTGTTAATAAATAATATTATTTTATTGTTATCATTGGTAACATTTTAAGTATTTACCTAATATGTTGTAATAACAAATTAAGTAATTAACAAAATAATATTATATAAGCGGTTATTACTTAACTTGTACGTTATAAAAAGTATTAATGAATTTTTATGTCATTAAAAACAAAAGAATCCTTATAATAAATAAATAATCTTTGCAAGTCATTTACAAATTACGTTAATATGTATGTAATAATTAGATAATAAATATTTTTTACAATTCATAAATAATATATTTTCAAATAATATTCTTATTATATTACAATGTAAACTTAATTACAAGATGCAATTATTTTTTCGTTAATAAATGAATATAAAAAATATTATAATCAATTAACGTAGCTTCTTTTTATAACGTACAAGTTAAGTAATAACAAAATAATGTTATTACATTATAATAAACGTACAAGTTATTTTAAAATAACAAAATAATAATTAACCAGTTATGTTATCCTTAGTAACATTTTAAGTGTTTACCTAATATGTTGTAATAACAAATTAA